CCGCGCCGGTCCTTACGCAGTGCCCTCGGCTGTCACCTCCACATTCACGTCACGGCACAGGTCAAGGTCGCGGATCTGGTTGCAGCTTTTGCAGATCATCTGAGGACCAAGAACAGAATACTTCAGTAGAAACACGCTTGTGTTTTTACGCCCACATCAACACAGATTAGATCATTCCTGAGGCAGGCTGGACCTCGGAGGACCAACAGTGGGTCACTTGAGTTTTAGTTTTTTGTTTTCAGAGGTTTTACGGCGCTCGCAACAGCATAAGGTCATATGAGCACCAGCTTTAGTTTTAGTAAGAGTTGCAACACAATAAGCTACCATAGCAACAACAACATCACAAGCACCTGCAGCTACCACAGCAACAACAACAACAACATCACAAGCACCTGCAGCTACCACAGCAACAACAATATATGAAGCAGCTGCAGGTACTACAGCAACAACAACAACATCAGAAGCACCTGTAGCTACCATAAAACAAAGCAACAACATCAGAAGCAGCAACGACAACAGAAACAGCTGCAGCAACAACCACATCAACAACCAGAGAGTGTTCCCAGATTACCTCGGGCAAGACAAAGGAGAGGCAGGGGTTGTCAAAGACGGCCTGCGAGGAGAACTCTCCGACCCCGATCAGCTTGAGCAGGTCACGCTTCAGTTTCTTCATCTGGATGGAGACGTTGGAGTCTAGACCCAGCACCTGGGGGGAGAGAGGGAGGGAGAGTTAGGAGGGAGGGAGGGAGGGAGGAGAGTTAGGAGGGAGGGAGGGAGGAGGGAGAAGAGAAGGAGCAGGTCGCGCTTTTAGTTTCTTCATCTGGATGGAGATGTTGGAGTCTAGACCCAGCACCTGGGGAGAGAGGGACAGGGTCCCCACCAAATCCTGGAAAATTTTTTCAAGACCCCCAAATTTTTTTCAAGACCCCAATTTGAGGGAAAAATCAGGCCGCTGAGCGTCAAGAATGATCCCCCAAAAAGCCAATCTATCAAAGATAAAAAGTCAAAATGTCTATAAATGAATGCAAATGTACATTTTGTAGTATAGTCTTCAAACAATAGATGACTATAATACTGGGTGACTGCCAACCCAGCTTCTCAATTTTCCAAGGGAGGGGCCTCATCCATTTCC